AGGCACTGGGGTGTGTGTGCTGGGACACTGGGGTGCGCAGGGACAGGCACTGGGGTGTGCTGGGACAGGCACTGGGGTGTGCAGGGACAGGCACTGGGGTGTGCAGGGCAGGGTAAGCCTGGAGGCCAGAAAGAGTCCACACCAAGAAAATGGTGACTTTCAAGGGGAGGCCTCACAGCCATCACAGGGGCTCCCATTGCCCAGAACACAGCTGTTCCAAGGCCATTTTCCTGGTTTGAAGCATGAAGGTCACCTCTCGGCCACCCGGGCAGCCTGGGTGTTGGAGGACACAGGGAGCCCGAGCCCGGAGGCTCTGTGCTCTGTTCTGCATCTGTGCACAAAAGTGACCAAGGCAGGGTCTCTGCTAGGCTACTGTAGGGGTGGCTACTACCACTCCTGCTGCGTGCAGCCACACAGGCCGAGCTGTGCATGTGGGAATGCCAGGAGGGCATCACCAGAACACCTGGAGGCTGCCAACCACAGAGCATCACTAGGGAAACAGCAAAGAAAGGGGCCTTGGGAAAGGACACATATAAGAGAGCACACGCCCTGATGCCTGCGGGACAGTTAACAGAGGACAATGTCGCAGGGAGAGTTTCGGGAGGAAGGAGCAGTTAACAGTTTCAAGTGCTACCAAGCCCAAGAGATGGAGCGGAGTGACTGAGTGAGCACAGAGATTAGGCTGCTGGATGTGGCACTCAGCTGGCATGGGTGCAGGTGGAACCACATATCAGTAAATAGACAAGTGAACAGAAAGTAAAGAAATAAAGGGAGGAGTGGACAACGAGACCATTTTCAAAAGCCTGAGGTGGGAAGGGAGGAGAGACCATGTGTGGTTTACAGGGGAAGCGGGTCCTGCAGGAAAGCTTCGCCCTGGGCTATGGGTGAGCACAGGGGAGAGGTGCAGGGGACAGTCGGAAGACATCAGTCCCAGGTCCCAGGGGACAGGCAAGAAAGCGCGCGTGAGGACAACCCTGCTGCCCCCACTGGAAGGAAAGGACAGGCAAGGACTGGGTGCAGCTAAGAGGAGCACATGGGGTTTGCATGGCGCAGGTCTGAGGTCTCCGTTTTATTCCACAGACACTGAGGTGAGGGGTGAGGGGACAGGGAGAGCTGAAGAGCTCAAAGTCTTAGAGCAGCTCCAGGGATTGGTTTCCAGGGCCCAGCATTTGCTTTGAGTGACGCCCATGAGCTTCCTACTATTTTGTGCAAGTTTTCTCACCGCCAGCAGGTGAAGATTGGCACATACATACCCACACTTCTGCTTTCCCCGACTTCTCAAGCTCCAGAGCCATCCTGGCATCTGGAATCTGTGTGCTACGACCAATGGTGCACCATGTGTGGCCAGGCCCGTGGCAGCGAGTATTGGTGAAGCACCCATTCGCAGCTTAACACCAAAGCTCAAGGCCAGGCCAGGGGAGAGAGGCAGCCGGATCCGGCCTGCACTCCAAGGGCCACCACCCGGAGAAGAAAGGGGAGTGCTCCCCCACATCACCACTGCCTCCTCCGATCCCAGAGCTGTGAGGAAAGCAACGCCCAGTTCTACCTGAGGCTCCCCCACCCCGCCCCCAAATGCTATGCACCAGGGCCACAGGGGCGGTCTCCTGTCACTGGGCAGCTTTATGATGGACACACCTGAAAACTAGAGGGCGCAGCAGAGGGGCGGGGCTGAGGCTGCTGGACCGGACGTCCCCTCATTCCTGTTTTGTGTGAGTCTCCTCTAGTTGTTAGACTCTGCGCCCTCCTCTGTGAATGTGAACACTATGAGGAACAGGGCGTAGATATCACACTTTGCACAGCACCTGCAATGCGGTCCATGTTGAGCAAACACTGGTTATTATGACTGTCACTGACATCATCACTAGTCCTCACAGCCCTGGAAACAGGGCATTTTATTACCAAGTGGCTTGGGTCCCTATAGGTTGACTGAGTGAACCTGCCTTCCTGTGGCTACAGCACTCAGACAGTGGTTGGTGTACTGTGAAATGAAGCCCCACAGAAAAGAGCTCTGGGGGAGCCCTGGTCTCCATGAGGTCAGGCCCGGCTGTGCCCCAGTTCGTGTGCTGTTGGCTCGGTGAGTGGATCCTATGGCAACTAAAGCTACCGAGGTTGGCCACAGAGAAGTCGGTTTTCTTTGTTCACTTGTAACATCAGCTCCCATTTCCTGGCATCTGCCCTAGGCAGGCACCTTTGACACGGGACTTCGGACCCAGGAAGACACCCTGTAACCCATTTTACAAGAGGAGACTAGGTTGGAGGGGAGATAAGGAATGTCTCAAGCCACACATGTTACCTGCAAAGTGAGCCTGCCCCTCCCTCATCTCCCCACAGCGCTTCTCTGCCCTGGCCCGGCACCTCGGGGACCATGGGCAGGGAACAGAAGAGGAGCCAGGCCAGGGAGGAAGCCCTGGCCCCAGCCTTCCTCTCCCAGGTGCTGTCCCTGGCCCTTCCCGGAGCACTTGCCTGGATTCTTTCCGGAATCACAGTCATCTGGAATCTAGAACCCAGGTCCGAGCCACCCGATCAGTGCTGGAGCCCTGCCCACAGTCCCCAACCCTCCATGTTCATAGGCCTCCCGGGAGTCATGGCCACCCACAAAAGCCCGTCCTACCAGTGGGGTGTGGGAAGAGCTCAGGAGATTTATCTCAGTGCAGTGGCGGATGCAATGGCGTGAGCGCACTCAGCCTATACAAGCTTCCTCGGCACACCGGGAAGTGGCAGCGCCCGCCTGAGTAAGCCCCCTAGAGCCCCTACATAGTACCCTAACTTTCCTACCATTGGTTGCCCTAAGGATGTTGTAAACTTCTGATTGGTCTGGAATGTTATGTATGTCGCTGTACTTAAACAATAAAACTCAGATCTGCGTCTTTGAACCTGATCTCCGGAGTCGGGCATGCTTCATTAGGACTCCGTCGGCCTCACCCCCGCGGGACCCCCTGCCTCAGTGGGGAATGGTTGTGAGGACACCTTCCCCTGCTTAGAGCTAAGTTTCCCCCATAACTTCTGCTCGCTAGTGCAAGTTTGGGCTCCTTAGGACACAATGGGACTTGAAATGCACTTGCTCCGTGTAGCACCCACGTCGCCCACGTGCAGAGCTTCCCATGCTGCTGTGATCTTAGACTCCCTCTGGGCACTCGGAGTGTTTTCCACTCTGTGAAGATTTCACACAGCCACCCACAGCTCGCTCTCCTTCCCCCTGTCCTACCCCTTCTCAGCCCCTCACCAGCTCCCTGGGCGTCCACGGGTTCCTCTAGGACCGTGGTCGGCAAACCGTGGCTCGCGAGCCACATGTGACTCTTTGGCCCCTTGAGTGTGCCTCTTCCACAAAATACCACGTGCGGGTGCGATTGAAACTTCGTGGCTCATGTGCAGAAGTCAGTATTTTGTGGAAGAGCCAGTATTTTGTGGAAGAGCCAGGTCAGACGTGGGTAGCGGGCGCTTCACCACCTCCTCCGTCAGCCTCCATTGCAGGGCTTCTGGCCCTTGGCTCCTGGCAACCTTCCCTCCGATTCTGAGGTCAAGGCTACTCGTCTACCGAGCCAGGTGCCTCCTCTCCCTGCAGAGCTCACAGAAGGCTGACTGGGGGAGGAGGGGTCACGACCTCAATCAGAGTCTGCAGTTTCTTCAAGATGGGCCCTCTCTGAGATTTTACTTTTGCAATACGCCCTCCTCTCCTTCCACCAGCCCCACACCCCCCCCTTCCTTCCACTTAGGGGCAGCCCTGGTGAGGCAGGGGCACCTTCAGGCTGGAAGAGCACCCAAACCCCCAGCCTCTAGTCCTCCACCTGGGCCCAGTGCGCAGAAAAGAGCTTTGCGAGGAAACGGCTGTGGGGAGAACTCAGCTCAGGCACCACCCACTGTGTCAGGAGAGATGGTTCCCGCTGCGATGAAGCCTAAGGAAGGCCTCTTAACAACACAGAACAGGAAGTCCAGCAGCTAAGTGTCTCTCGCCATCCCACCAGGCAGGCTCCAGGCGCCACTCAGCCCCTGGCCCTCCCATCACAAGCCAGCTCCCCTCCAGCACAGGTGGACCCAAAAGGAGGAACAAAGCCTGTCTTGGGCCTGATTAAAACTGAGTTTCACTTTCCCAGGAGCCAGCAGCACATGCTGCTCCCAGACTCTTTGACAGAACTAGGTCATTGTCTCATTCCTAAACCAAAGCCACTGGGAAGGTGAGGCCAGACCCGCCTCCCAAAGCCTAGGGGGGCTCCCTGTCTCCAGGGCCAAAGACGTCAGAAACAACAGCTTTGTTCCCGAGGATGAAGGAGGGATGCTGCAGGCAGCCCGTGAGAAAGGGCCTCCTGCCCTCTGCGCGGTGCAGGGCGTGCCACAGGGACCCAGGTAGCAATGTTTGGGGGAGGGGGTTCAGGTGTCGAGATCTGTGTCTGCTGTTAAACACATTCAGCTAACCCAAGAAATAAATAGTTATGTCAAATCATACACTTTGAAACTTGGCCTTAAAGGTCACATGAGCCCTGGCCGGGTTGGAGCATCATCCCATGTACCAAAGGGTGGTGGGTTTGATTCCCCGTTGGGGCATATACCTAGGTTATGGGTTCGATCCCCAGTTGGGGCGCTTGTGGGAGGCATCCGATCAATGTTTTGGTTTTTTTTCCTCTCTCTCTCCTCCCTTCCTTTCTAAAACAATCAATATAAACTTTTTTTAAGGGGGTAAAGATTTCAGAAAAAGCCTGGGAGAAAAGCTAGTACTTGGCATCATTCAATCTCTTACATAATTTAGTAAATTAAGAATTAGCGAAAGCCCACAATGGCCAAATTTTAGAAGCCGGGCTTCTTGGCGCAGCCCTCTGGGCATACTTTAAGAACCACCAATCCAGTCAAACACTCTCACTTATTTTCTGCAAGTTTCTGAGGCTCACAAATACCTTTGTGTTTCTCCAAGGTCACCAGTTAATTATTGTCATAGCAACTCCCCTCCCGAAGAATCATAGTGATTTCCCACATCACATGTCCAGAGCGCGTCGGGAATAAAGGAAGGTCCCATGTGACGTGGGTCTGAGCTTAGTGTTCCTGGCCAGAGTCCAAACCTGCCCCAGACTCAAAAGCTTTCTAATCCCCGATATTCCAAAATGTGGGAGCTGAGAACTCCTCTCAGAGGGTGTTTCTGCTGTTGATTTAGAGACACATCTCTCTCTCACCTGCACACTGCCACCTCCAGGCATCACTCCCCAGACCCCACGGCCTGAAGTCCAGGTGGGCCTGTCTCTGAGCTGCCCAGGACAGAAGAGCCCAGGCTGGCTCCTTAGCTGGCTCCCTCCTCCCAGCCAGAAGCAGCTGATTGCCAGCTCCAGGCTGCCTGCCTCCAGCCCAGCCCTAATTGGCCTGATCTCAGGCTGCCACTGGGGCCATGGCAGGCGCTGAGAGCAGTGGGGACATTTTTCCAAGGTAATGATTAAGCCGAGTGCCTGGCAAAGGCACAGGCAGCCGGCAGGAAGGTGAGTCCATTCACACCTTGACCAGGCTGCAGTGGCTGGGACTGGTTTGGGACAGCAGGGCCCCAGGGCACGAGGGCCCCAAGCTGGCAGCCACAGCCTCCCTGGACACCGGACGTCTGAGAGCATCTAGGGCCAGAGCCGCTGCTGCCCGCCCTGCTGGGCCTCTGCCCTTGCCCCGGCACCATGAAGCTGCAGGTGTTCTGGACAGGGCTGGAATACACCTGCCGGCTCCTGGGCATCACCACCGCTGCAGGTAGGACCCCACCTCCCTGCTGTAGTCCTCTGCGGGCTGGGCAAAGCAGATAGGCTGGCCCAACGGTGGAAGCCAGCTGGCTGGGGATGGGCAGGTGCATCTGACCACACTTTCTTCCCCAAGACCCCCAGGAACAGTGCTCTGCGGGGCACAGCGGGTACAGGGGGTCAGCTGGGGACTGGGAACCAAAGGGCCTTGGGAGCCCTCAGCCTCCTCATCTTGGAAATGAGTGGAGGGTCGGCCCCACCTCCCATGGGGCTGCTGTGAGGGGGCGGCGGCTGAAGGTGAAGGTATAAAAGGCTGATGCTCGCTGTAGAGTTAGCAGAGCACATCTGGCTTGATTCACACCACAGGCCCCTGTCATGGAGAGAGAATTCCCAGCTGAGCTGGAGGGCTGGTCACGGAGACCTCGGGCTTGCCTGATGCTCTGCAGGGCTGCGGGGAAGGGGTTCCTGGGTTGGCTCCTCTCCCTCACCCGCCTAATCCTGGGGCTGCTCAACTTTGCGTGAGGACAGACAGAGCAGAACCAGTGGGACCACGGCCCTGAGTGCTGCCTTCTCACTTCCCTAGGGCAAACCCTGCCCTAGCCCAGGTCCCCCACAGGGCCAGGATCTGTGTCTGGGAAGTCAGCAGCAGTGTTCTGAGCTCTGAGCACTGGGCCTCACTGTCCCTGGGGACAAGGAGGAGACGCCCACAGCTCAGCAAGTCCTTCTCCATCACTGGACCAAATCCTGTGCATGGATCTCAGTGGATGGGAAATGTCCCCCAGCTCAGACTCAAACAGTGCTGCTTCCAGCCTCGGCCTGCCACCTGCCACCTGCCACCTGCCACCGGTGACCTGGGAGAGCCATCGGGGCCTCTGGGCCCGAGCTTTCTAGCCTGTGCAATGGAGGTAACCGGCCCTGCTGGCCAGGGTTTTGAAGCATCAACGAGGCATGAGCTGATCAGAGATAGCTGGACTGGGGATAAAGCCTCTTGGGAAAAGCCATGACACACTTCAGCGCTCAGGGGACCCAGGTCACTCCCAGGCGCCGGGCCAGGCTCACTGGTGGACTGGCCAGTGGGGTCTGCAGCACGGAGGCCCTGAGTTAGCACAGAACCCGCCATTTGAGATGACCTAACCCCACAACTCCTGACATAAGATGAGCTCAAATAGGGGCATGACCCTACCCAAGGTCACGTTGCAGGTCAGAAAGAGACAGCCGGCCTAGAGCCCTGGCCCCTCGATTTTCAAAAAGGCTGGACTCTGCCTTACAGGGTAGGAAGCCCACCCTGCAGACACCAGGAAGGTCTGGACCTGCTCTGCTGAGACCCAAGGAGATGAGCTGGCAGGGAGCCAGCTCCAGACACTGTCAGGGCCACCTGTCCCCTGCACTCTGGGAATGACTGCCCAGACCCCCAACTGCCCACCCAGGGAGGGGCAGGGAACCCTACATAGGTTCCCATGTCTGGGTTCAAGGTCTGTTCTACAACTTGATCTGGACTTCGCCCTGCCTCCTCTAAGCCCCGGTTCCCTGAAGCGGAAGCACAGCCCTTCCTGCTCGCAGATGTCTCAGGGACGGTCCCTGCCACACCTGCCCAGAGCCCGGCCCGCCTCCTTCTAGAATCTGTTTTGACCTGTATCTACCCTAATGGATTAGCCAGAGACGTTCAAATCCGCTTTATCTCAGCCAGAGGAAGGGTCTGCAACCATCGCATATACCACTGCTCCTCTGGCCACATCCCTTCCTCTGCACAGAGGGCGCTGCTAATGCTGAGGGCAGGCCTCCGCTTGGTTTTGAAAAGGATCCAGGCTGAAAGTAGGCCACAGATTGCCTTTTACTGGCCAGGCTTTTCGGTCGTTTTATTGGGGCTTTCTAAAGTGCAGGAGACGGGGAAGCTAGAGAGAGGACTTCGTGCTCTTGGGCGTACCTCCCATTTCCTGGCAATATCGGGGAACTCCTGGCCTGTTTCCAGTGTATTAGGTTTGCACATTCTTTATTCCCTTCAGCCTCCTTTTGGGGGAAGTTCCCGTTGAGAAGCCCAGGCCGCGTGTACAGGGGCATCGCTGCTGGAGAGGAAATAAGGCTTGAGACACAGGCGCTCAGTTTGCAGAAACGGGAGACCCTGGCCCACTGTGGGGAGGAGTGTGGTTCCCCAGAAGCTGGGAAAAGCATGTGACCCAAGGCCACCCAGACAGTCTCCTGCAGGGACCAGGCAGCACTACCGACTGGCTGGCCCCTGGGCCTCCTTCCCTCTGCAGACAGGACCCGTGACTGTCAGAGGCTCCGAAGGCACAGGCCCGGGGTCTCCCCCGATGGCACGGCCCAGCAGCTTGGCCACCGCGTGCCTGCACAGCTGCCCAGGGGCTGGCCGAGCTCACCTCTCCCTCTCCACCCGGGGCCCTGTGGATGAAGCTTCGTTAGCACGCCCAGTGGTCCCCAGGCCATGCTGCCCCACCCCATGGCCAGCCCCATACCACCAAATAGGAGGAGACAGGCCATGAGCAGACTGTGCCCAGCCAGATGTGTTTCGAAAACCAGAAAATTCTCTTCCTTTGAATCAATCATAAGGTTTCCAGGTCAGCACAAACCCACGCCTCCCCACTAGTCTCACACTTAGCTGGCTGCACACATTTGTGTGACCTCCTTGGCGGGGAAGGCGGGGAGTGTGTCGGTGTGTGTTTGTGCGTGTGCGTCCGTGTGTGACCTCTCAGTGCCTGTTATGGAGATGTGGCCTCAGCAGCCACCAGAGAAGCACACCAACGGGACCTGCACACAGACTGGGAGCCCTCGCATTCCCTGCGCAGGTGCCCACATCTGCCTGCGGCCCCAGAGCTGCCCCACCAGGTGTGCCTGGGAGAAGAGCTCCAGGGGCCTTACCTTATGCAGTTCTCACTGCAGACCAACCGTCAGGAGGGGCCTGGGAGAGGGGTTGTAACTGAGGTGGGGGCACCGCAGCCCAGGGCGTTCCTCCCCCACAAAGTAGGCGTGGGCTCGTCCCCATTCCTGCACTGGGGAGTATGGATTGGTTTCCCTGTGAACCATGCAGTCCTTCTCCACCCTTCCCCGCCCCACCCCACCTCCGAGGGTGACTCCCATGAATTTCCTCACCGCTCCTGAGCCCTGCCCCAGCCCTGCCAGAAACAGGATGGGAAGAGTTCCCCGTCCCGGGTAGATGTTGCACCTTGAGGGTCCTAGACTTGAGTGGAGTATGGAGGAAAGAGGGGAGACTAATTTCCATAGGCCCTGACTACTGGGGAAAGTCTCCCCAAAAGAGGAGCTGCCAAGAAAATGTATTTGGTGAGGCCGCCTAACACTCCTCAGAGCAAAGGGCTTGAGCCTGAGGCTCCTCGCTGCCAACACTCAAGGGCAGTTTTTCCTCTTCCAGCCTCGGCTCTGGGAGTCAGAGCTGGCAATGGACATTACTATGTGGGTATTCACTGAGCCGGACTCTGCTGCATGATTTAAACGTAATGTCTCGTTTTATCCTCATAACTACCCTTTGGAGGACCGTGATGCTCATCCTCATCCTCATTCTGTGCAGGGGGAAACTGAGGCCTAGTGCAAGAAAGCATTTGCTCTGGTCCTCACAACCAGAAAGCAGGGAGGCAAGACGTGAATGGGTGGTGGTCCACTCCGGAGGCCCCACTCTTGATCAGCGTGCCCTCCACCTAAGTCAGTGGTTCTCAACCTTCCTAATGCTGCGACCCTTTAATACAGTTCCTCATGTTATGGTGACCCCCCCCAACCATAAAATTATTTTCGCTGCTACTTCATAACTGTAATTTTGCTACTGTAAACAATATGTAATTATATATGTGTTTTCCGATGGTCTTAGGCGACCCCTGTGAAATGGTCTTTCGACCCCCAAAGGGGTCGCGACCCACAGGTTGAGAACCGCTGGCCTAAGTCTTTCCATATCTTGGGTATCCCAGGATGCAGGATGCAAAACACACAGAGGGTACCAGTGAGGCCTGACTAAAGCCACCCATCATATACCCTAGATCCCCACCCCCAGTCAGCCCTGTCAGGCAGGTGGATCATGGTGGACAGTGACAGTGACGTATAGTCAAGAACGACCGACACTTCCGAAACATAAAGACACTGATGTTTGACACGCCGCTCATGCTCTCTGGATGGTTACGGCTTTGACCCCTCTCAGACCCTCTCCTGGACCTCACCCGAATCTGCGCAGGTTTCCAGAGACAACTGTCACAGCAGGCCCAGAGCTGCATGACCACAACGTGCTAGAAAGTCATCATCTTGATGAAGCCCCACCTGCGTCCGTGACGGCCAACCTGGGATCACTCAGGGGTTTGTTTTATTCTAGGGTTTGACCCATTAACCTCTCCTCCACACCAAGGACAGAGCCAGATTTTCAGCAGCGCCCTCCTGCCACACTCCATTTGAAATGGTGACTTATTAATGTAGACTAGAATGACAGCAGCACTTAAACCCAGATGTTCTCATTATTTTTTAAAGGGCACAGCAAATGCATAGTTTGACCTCAGCCCTTTTCAAAGCCTTCAGAAACAAACTAATGCTTCTGAGGCAACCATCCCGGGCTCTCCATGCTAATTTCCACCCTTCTGAAATGTTATCCCCGAGACCACTTCCTGCCACAGGAGGAAGCTTCCTGCACCCAGCACACCCACAGGTGGGTTTATTAGCCACGTTGTTTTCAGGTCCTCCACGCGGATGTTGGCTGGTTCTTTTCCAATCTGATTGTTTCAACAAGTGAATGAAATTTCCCTACCTCTGCTCCACCTGCAAGATAGATTTGGCTTAAGCATTTCTTTCTTTATTTCGTTATACTCGTGCCCTTTGTCTTAGATTTAGAACAAGAAACCGAGAACTCCACTTAAGATTCATTTATTCAGCAAACATTTGCAGAATTCCCACCGTGTGCCATGTAGACACACATATTAGAATGGCACGACCTCCCTCCCAAGAAGCATGTGGTGACCAAGGAGACAAGCTAGAAAACGCATGCCCTGGCACTAAGCACTGCAGCCCCTG